TTCAGTTCAGAACCAGGATTCCACCTACTATGGGGGTGAGCAGAGTCCGCCTCCACTAGGCCCCTCCGCCTCCATTCCAAGGCTGGGGCCAAGGCTGCCTCCGCCTACGCGCCTGGGTCATCGTGCATGCGATGGGGAAAAAAGACGGGGAAGAAGACAGTGAGTTCCACGGTCTGTACATCCAAACATGAAATGGCATTTGATGTGTCACTCGATTCCAGATAGCAAATTCATCTATATCCAAACAACAGATTTGGTATTTAGTCAATTTACAATATAACATTATATACAAATAGTGGCTCAATATCTACATCCAAACATCATAGAGAGCTGACTTGTTTTACAGAGTCGACTGAGGAGATTGAGGGAGCACAGACCGACATGCTGCAGGCTGATGATATTTCGCAGCCTTCTGGGCCACAGCCGGATAGGTCCCAACTGCAGGATACTTTGACCTATTTATGCAGGACCCATATTTCCAGAACCATGCAGAATTCCTACACCTTCACACACCCATATATCCAGAACCATGCAGAATTCCTCACACTGCTAGCTTCAGAACCAGGATTCCATACTATGGGGTGAAGAACTGGATTCCACACTATGGGGCAGCAGTCACAATTCTGACTTATTGTTTGGACAACATATACATAACACATTACTATCAGACCATCATGGTGTTATGAAGATGTTGCTCAAAAAATTGAGTATTGCAAGGAAGGATCTACTTCTAGCTCTCACCAAACTGTTCCAACTAGCGAATTTCAAACCAGCAGGGCAAAAATTGAAATTGCAAGAAAGGATCTAACAGCACTAGCTCTCAAGCTTAGCAGGGCAAAAGCACTTGGGAGCCTTATCATTATCATCACGGCCATATATGACCAAACCACCAAATAAAATGTGTAAATTGAACAGTAACTGTAATCACAGATACCCGCTCTGTGGACAGATTGAGATGCAGTCCCCAGGTTCCTATAAACATGTTAAACGTGGAGACCACTCTGTATAGGCCTAATCATAGCATCACCAGTCAATGCCCATGGCTAGTGGAGACGTGGCATCAGGCCCATAAAAACATCAGGACAGTACACATCAACAAGATGTTTTATGTAGAATCCCTCAATGAACCTATTTAAATCACCCCCCACAGGTGAATCAAACAGCTGCACATGTGAGCTCCATCCCAGAAAAAACCACAAAGGCTATGGTAGAAATGGACATCTACAGTTGAGGCCGCTGCTATTTAGAGTCAAACGGCACTTCCTATCTATGAGTGTTGAGATCTTCACTGGGTCTAGATAGCAGAACTTTAACAACTAAAATGACAGCAAAGCAAACTAAAGAAAAAACTTATCACATCAAACTAGAGAAATTATTGGTATTATAACAAAAGCAAGAATAAAGCAGTCATCCTACAATACCTTGTGGTCAACCAACAATGGAAAAACCAAAGGTCGTACACATATCTGCAGAAGAAATTTTGCAAAGGATTCAAGCAAAGTGAGGAATGTTGGACATTGGGATGCACACACTGTTTGAGAGGACAGTGAATGCATGATGACTTATTCCAAGCACGCTTGCTGAATGCGCTACAGAAAAGAAGCACATCAGAGACTCTAATTTGTTGCCTCTCAAGACACAATATTACCAGTGATAATAGCATGTATACATACGATACAAACTGCTCAGAATGCGCTACAGAAAAGAAGCACATCAGAGAAACCTCAAAACAAGCAAGATTAACACGATACATATATACATACGATACAAACTGCTCAGAAAATAAAGCAGAGGACAACAAGATAATTCAGATGGCTCAGTTCAGCGGGATATTCAGCATACAGGTTAATCTCATTTAAAGAGATTGACATGTGATTTGGTCTGTTGAGCTTGAATATTACCAAGTCGTCACTGCCATCACTCTTAAATTCATTTATCAATATATCAAATCAACCAACATTTAAAATTAGTTAGACTCACAACTGAACAAATGGTCTCACACCGCACTAGTTCATGAGAGATATCAACAGATAATAGGCAAAAGTTTGCCTGTTCTGCAACAATCATCTCATCAAAGGCCAAGATTGAACAAAAACGAAATCAGACAATCAACTTTTGTTCAGATTTAAAATAAAATGCAGCTGAAAGGAAAAACTTCAAACTACTATAAATACATAGTTGTGTCAGATAAAATTTCTCAGCACCCTTTGGAAGGAATAAGACAGGGATAACTGTATTTTACTTTGTTATCGTCATCCACACCTCTAACTAGACCACTTGAACAATAAAAAAAGTTTCAGGGACAGATCAGGCGCTTTCACTTTCAAAGTTTTACATTATTTTATATCCCAAAAACACATGGAAAATTTATCAGCTTTGCATGTGATGGAATATATGTGGCCTTTCCAGGATTGGATTGACACAAAGAACGCCACCAATCAGGATATAACCACACAACTATCTAGAATAGCATGTCCCGTCCGAGCCATTATACAAAGAGGAATAGAGTCATCCTCCAGAATTGGTAATGGACGCATCTAATGGAAAAAAAAGGAAAAAAAATCTACATCAAAATGACAAAGATATTGCTCACTTGTTAGATGAGTTCAGACAGCCAAGGGTTTGGTCTTCAACTACCACAAGTAGTATCAGAAACTCTAGTCCAAAACACAATTGCTCATCACCACTCAAAATCTAACTTCTCAGAGCAGGAAGTAAAGAAAAATGTATGTAAACTAATAATAAAAAGGTTGAGAACTGGTACTTAGGAGCTCAGACAGCCAAGGGTTTGATCGTCAAATACTACCATGATAACATCTGAAACTCTAGTCCCCAAAAGTTGCTCTTCACCACTCTCATTTCAAATGAACCATTGTAACCACACAGAAAAGAAGACACGAATCCAGTCTATGATGCTGCCTGGAACAAAGAGAAAATAGCATCTACTTAGGATAACTATCTAGAGTAGTTGGTGGCTGTGTCAGCCCTTATCTTTATCCCTAGCATCTACTTTAGCATCTCTAGAATATGATGTAGCTTTCTTAAGGCTCAAGCAAGCTATCCTATATGTATCCCCAACCTGCCATAGTTGTGGCATGGCTAATGAAATCTGAAATTCAGACCCAAGCCTGTGTTTTGGTTCTAACAGTAGCCACTAGCCAGGCCAACCTAGCAAATAATTCCAATGGTTTCTGTACAAGCTCAAATCAATTTGGTCAGTCCTGTTATAAATACAACTAGTCAATAGAGGGCGTGAGCTACATGCAAAGGCAGCCAAAACTACAGAGGTTGTACATCAGACAGATGAATTAGTTTGACATATAAGTAGCTAACTTCCTTGTTCTGAAGGCTGAAAAAATAATTATGTTGCAACGAAAAGGCAAAATATGTGGCTTAAACCCACAGAAGTAAACAATCTTGTGGTGTTATTTAACTCCCAACTCACAGTCCAGAGCCGAAGCTGATGACAACACACTCTCCGAGTTTTTCAGCCTCAACACAAATCAGAAAGCACTAGTGCAAGGATAGTTAAACTCGGTTCCGATTTACCCAGTATAATTATTTGAGAGAAATAACTAAACTACAATACTATTACTAAACTGCAAATGCATTTGGACACTGCCCAGTCTTGTCATGCGGGTGCAGCAGCTCCAAGTAGGAGCTACGCAGGAACTTGAGCCGATTGCAGACTCCAAACACTGGACGACTTCATGAGTGGCCAATGGGATGCAAGGTTTGCACCAAGAAAAATGCATGATCCTAAGAATAGATTTGTCAAAACATGACACTGATAAGGCTCAGATATGAATCAGCTTTATCTGTCATGAGTTATCAGAAGCAGAACTGGCGTTGTAAGCTGACGGTTGTATCATCACTGCCAAATCAATCACATGAACGAAATGACCTAATGCAGAAAATAACAAGAGACAATTGAATGATTACTAGATGGCTCATATTAAGAAATTCAACCATTATTTTTTCCATTTGCGTCACGGGTTAGATCAGAAGCGCGGGTAATGTCAAATCACTGCCATCAATCATCAATTCAATCAAACGAAAGAGCAAACCAAACATAATAAGAAATGATGCACTACGAATATCTGTATCCATTACTTTGACACAGACCAATCACAAGATTCATCAGGGCCTGCAACACTGAATGGCATAGTGGATCTAGCACAGGCATTGGGGCTTCCTTCTTCAAGTAGTAAATCCGACAAGCCCGGGGTTGGCACCGTGCAGAAACCGAGTTAGATCTTCAAATCGCGAGCGAGATTTTAAAATAAAACAAACGGAATAAAGGCGAAGCAGTGGGAGACAAAACTGTAGTCAAGTAACAATCATATTGCTTACTGGAGTCATGGCAACAGAAACGATTTCTTAACGCGTCGATCTATCCCCTCCTTGCGTGGGCGGTGCAGCACGGAAAATTCGTGCCCCCGCCGTTATGAACAGGAGAGGAAACAGTACTGTACAAATCAAAACGATGCAAAACAACTCCGTCCGGCAAAAGATAAGAGTGAAACGAGAGAAGCAGACTGCAACGCTGACGACAAACGAAAGCTTAGACGATGATGAGGCGGGGGCAACCAGGATGACAAGCGAAAGCTTAGGCGAGGTGGTGGCGGCGGTGGCGGCGGCGGCGGCGGCGGCGGGCTGGTTCTTGAAACCCTAGAGGTAGCCGGTAGGTAAGAGGAGCACGGGTTGGCTTTTTTTATAGCCTCCGTGGCGGCGAACTTGAGAAGCCGAGTTCAAGCGTCGGCCGACCTTGAGAAACGGCCGAGCCTACAGACAGGCTCGAGCTCGATTCCACTTCCACCGAAGCTCGCCAAGGCTTGAGCTTGCTGGGCTCGAAAACTCCCATGGGCCGCCTATAGGTCTTCCGGCCTTCCCTGTTGTCCTCCCATTTCCCTTCGTGGCATTCGTCGTCTTCGGCTCACCCTCCCGGCCGCCGTCTTGACTGTAGCAAAGCGGGTCGCCGTCCGCCGCGTCCAGGAGCCATGCGGGAGGGGATGAGGGAGAGGGACAGAGGCGGGAGCCCGGATGCGTCGGGCCCTCCTCCCTTCCGCGGCCCGTCGTACAAGACGAAGCTGTGCGCGCTTTGGAGGGGCAGGGGCGGCTGCCCCCGCCCCAACTGCGGTTTCGCCCACGGCGAGGCTGAGCTCCGGAGGCCACCCCCGCGCGCCTCCTTCCAGCCTCGCCCTCGACCTGGTATGCACCACGCGCACCTCCGTCCGTCCGTCCCTCCCGCTCTCATTCTCGATCCGCGCTTGTTTGTCGTTTTAGGGCTTTGCATCGCCTTACTGTCTGCTTCTGGGTTTTGCCGTACCCAAAATGTTGTCGATTCTATGTCAGTCTGTCGGATTAGGTTATTTCGATGGTTTCAATCCGAGCAAGAGACACTAGCGCGCTCTTCTTCAGAGTGATGCATCTTCTGTCTGTTTATTGATCGAGTTATTGGGATGATTGGTTGATGACTGGAGGCACAGCCCAATGTTTGAATGCTAGTGGTGCAGCAAACACTGGCAGATAGCAATGAGATCTGAATCATATGGTCTCAGGTGCAGATCTAGCAAACAGGGAAGATAGTTGCAACCGCAAGAATTATATAATGGTAACAACTTGCAAGTGCATCCTTGGAGGATGTACAAATGGGGGTGCAAATGTTAATAGCTGACCATTCTGGGAGGCTTTATAGTTTCTACTCGTGGCTGAGAAGACTCTACACTTCAATTGCATAACAGTATGATGGTTTGTCACCTGAATCTTTCTCAGTTCGTGTTATATCTTATCGTCTTATGGTGCATATACACTATGATTCCTGTGTAGTGGTACTTGAACTGAGTGCTTGCTGTTGCAGAACACAAAAATCATCAACAAGCCTGATTTCATTGCAGATAATCTTGGCAATGGCATTGCTGGTTATTATTTTGATTTTTACAATAGATGTCTCATGGGCAGATTTGTTGAGATTGAGATTGACTGCTACCAGAGGATGACACATCCTATTTCCATCCTGGCCTTCTTTTCAGTTGGCAATCAGTCATTTCTGATCACTTGAATGCTTAACCTGCCTCAGAAGAACTTAATATGGAAGATATCATACATTTTATCTTCTCGATGAGATTCATGCTATGGTCAGTGAGCTTTAACAATGCTGTTAGAAGTTTTTGCAACTAACTGAAACATGCCCTTTGAACAATAGATGTCTCATCAAGCTATATCCGTGGCTTTATTGTTACCTGCTCTTCAAGCATCATCTTGGAACAAGATTTTTGTCAGTCATATGGATAACATCTGGTCAAGTGAAATTAAATTTATTTGGTGCTATTGGAGTTTTGGAAGATTTTACGTCATGATGATTGGAATATGATAGCTAATTATAATTAATTTTGGTGATTCCATCCAAGTGTACTTCAGGTGATTGGTATTACAAGTACTGGATCTATTCTAAGTGGTGAATCATGATGTATAATCATGCATTGGCATCTTCTCTTTCATTAGTTGTATTGGCTCGTCTGTGTTTATGGCCTATGGTGTATTGATATTATTGTGGACCCTCTAATTCTTGTAGCTAATTGAATAACTATATGGCTCAAGGTTGTGGTAAGCTTAATGGGTTTCTGTGTTGCCTTGTATCTATGCAGTTCCATCTAACTTTTGTTCTTTGATGGCATAATGTTTTTTGGGTAAATCTTCCACCTTCCTGGTTTGTAGGGAGAAGGGATTACAGAGATCATGAGTTTAGACTCAGGCCTGAGAGAAGACACTCACCGAGGTATTCCCCCGAAAGAGATATCAGGCATCGTTCCTTTCGTGATAAGAGACCAAGTTCTGAAGATAGGGGTAATCACTTTTTCTGTGCACACTTGTGCCAATAAAAATTATTCGCCATTGTCCATTCTATCCTCTAACTACTCCCTGAAATTTGATTTGCAGGATCTAGTCGTTCAAGATCACCTATTAGGAAGAGGTATGTAGGAAAGATTATTAGGGATTCATTTCAGAATCTGGCCGCCGTTCAGTTTGTTGTGCGTTCAGTTAACTCTGTATATACTTAAATTTGTTTATTCCATCGGGCTAGTCTATCTTCGCGTGACATCATGACTTAATCCCTGATAATTTATTGGTTTCCTTTAATTTTTTATCTGTGCGAGCTGCAATGTTAAGTTTGTGGTTTATGAGACCCTTTATTCTATTGTTCAACCACAATCTACCATGGAGTCTAATTATTATCCATTTATAACTTTGGGTGGAGGTGTAGGGTCTTAGTGTTGGTTTAACCAAGGAGAGTTTTGATCTTATATGTTAGACATGTGACCTGTATACATGCTATTATTTGCAACTTTTTATGGCTTCTGAAATTGCCTATCTTTATGTTTATGTTCTATGGACTGTTCAGTGAGAGAAAACATAGCAAAAGTCCTGATGGTGGAAAAACCGATTCATCCATAAGTTATAGAAGTTCTGATAACGAAGACAGAGGAAAAGATGAAAGGTACTTAAGCAGTGATGAGAAAAATGGTCGTGAAGAACAAGTAAGTTTGAACTATGCAATCCATCAAATTGCCATGATAACATACAAGTGAATCTATCCCCATATTCCTAGACCTTTTTATATATTTACATGTGCCCTGCAGCTGAAACAAATGCATCTGGACATGGAAGCATTGCTTGAAGATAAATCAAAGCTGGAGGTCAGTTATGATTTTTCAGGACATGTCTTACATATTGATTACTTATCACCTCGAGTTGTTAATATATCTCCATGAGTCATTTTATTTATCAGTTGATCACGGTTGTGATTTTTTTAGTTACTCTATGTTATGACCGGGTCCTATCACTCTATGATTTGAATTCTTCCCTCGTTTTTGTTATTTTTCTGCCTTAACTGTAATTATTGTGATGAAACTTTATTGTTGTGGAATTTCTCATCAATGTTACAAGACATTTAAATTAATCCATTAAGACTAAGTAGAACTTCTGTGGATGAGGACTAAGCAACAGTCCTGATCATCAAATTAGCATAATCAACCTTGGCTGTATATATAGATATTACAATTTTTCACTGGTTCACTATATCGCAGGCGATATTGGAGAAGAAGACTGATGAAGAGCGCAAACTTTGTAGCAGAGTAGAAGATCTTGAATTGCAATTGAACAAAGAGAAAGAAGATTGGCAAAGGTCTTATATTTCTACAAAATACTTCTTTTCATATCAATTGGTGGGTTCTTCAGCATAAGAGAAGATCACCAAGTATTTGTTTCCCCCCTAATGCCTCTTTTTCAATTTAGGATGACCTCCAAAACCAAAAAGCTAATAAAAGCACATGGGCGTTATATAAAAGCACAGGCGGATTTAAAGAGGCAGGTTTCTTTTCCCCGTATATTAAATGTACCTGAACTTGTGTATGGTCTGAAATAAAACATAATAGCACTCCTAGTTTTAGTCCTTACATGATTGCCACATAGCTGTTCACCATTTTGAGGTCTGCAGGTCTCAGGCTCGCTTTGAGAGGCTAGCAGATTTGCTTGCTTCAGATATTTTGAAGCCTTGTACCAAGGAGCAGGGTTCCATCGGGATTACTGCTAATGAAGATCCATATAATGCTAATGAAATGAGCCCAAGTGACCAAAGACAAAACCATGTTTCAGCATCGAGAAAAAGACTTATTTCCCTCCCAACAAGTGAAGAAGCAAAAACTGGTAAACCTACATGAAATCTTTGTAGACATAAATTTGATCCTGGAATGATATTGTTTATCCATATTGATCAAGTCTGTCAAGATAGTTATTATCTATTCTCCACTTTCCCCTCTTAATGGTTGATGCTTGACATATCTCCTGTTCTCACACATGGGCATCATTATCTTGAATATGTGCACATTTTACCACATTTTTTTTCATGTGCAAACTGTTCTTTTTCAGGAAAGAGACAGAGAGAGAATGACGAAGATATGATCCCAACATCAGAGAACTATAGACCTGAAGATGCTCTAGAACATGTCCAAGATAGCAAGGCAACTGATCTACCAGAATCATTTACAGTGAAGAAGTTAAGGGAGGGTGACTATGTTGATGTAGGAAACATTGTCTCTTCAAGCAATATTTTTGCGGATAGGGTGAGACGTCTTTCTTGCATTAACTCATTTAGCAAAATTGTTTATAATCATTTACTAAGTATGTCATGATCTGATGCCTCATTATGTTATTATTAGACGTTCTATTTAATGCCCTTTGTTATCCTAAAGCTATTAGTTCTGCAAATTCCATGGAAATTTATGTAGTTTTGTGAGTTTGGTATCATAGAATTTAGGAGAGGTTTCAGAATATGGTTCTCAATACACACGCCTCACTAAGATATAACACTCAATTCTCGCGACTTCCGAAATTTGACACCAGAGACACCCAGTCTTTATTTCAGGTGTTTCTACCCCATTTTCTCTGTTTCCCTTATTTTCCTTTTCCATTTTATTTCCCAACACATGTTAGTGGACCATTATGCAGTTGCCTCTTATCCCTTCGCACAATACATCTGGAGGCCGACCACTGTCCACAGTCACTTGCTCTCTCTGGTGAATCATTCCCCGAGCAACTCACACTTTCTTCCTCCCTGTCACCTCCCACACATGGATCACAGGGTCCTCTCCAGCCATTGCAAGGTATGATCCGACCAGGCTGGAGTTGATGCACCACACAGAGCCCATGTGGGCAGCCAACTCCTGACTGAGTGAGCCCCTTGCACGTCTTCCCGTACAGCTGCACCTGGCCCTTCCAGCATTGCACGAGCCAATGCCATCAAAGGCTGTCCAGGTGGCAGAGTTGAGGCGCTAAACTTCCTTCTCCTTCTCCCCTTACTTGGTGCTGCGGCGCCCATACGTGACAGTGGCCAAGTGCTTGATGCCATGCAGCCATCCTCCTATGGCTTCCTCTGGGGCTTGGTTGTGGGGGTGGACGAGGCCATGGCAGTTGTCAACAGCTTCATTAGTTCATGCACGATTGATGAGCGACCAATGCAGAGCTCACACTCCTTGAAGGTGAGCTGCCGGCCAGTATGCACCTCCCATACTACCTCCTCATGCACCTTCCCAACCTTGATTCTGTGTTGTTGCTTCCTGTTCTGGCATTTTGCCCAGTCCACATTGCTGGAGCTGGCTGCCGCAGCGCAACTCCAGAGCAGCGTCTGGCGTCCTTAGGCGGCGCATCAGGACGAGTGATGTTCAGCCGCGGGCTTGCAGTGGCACAATTCTGGAGCATGCTCAGGACACGGTGCTGAGGAGGGTGCGGTGCAAGGGTGGAGCATGGATGGTGAAGGTCCAACCAGCAGGAATGGCAGCACAAGAGATGAGACGAACAGGAGAGCCACACATCGATATGTTGCACTCATTCTCTAGAGGTGTTTGGTTGCCTGGGCGAGCCTCTACCCTCTAGGCTATGCTATCCTTTGGGCAATCTTACTGAATGATTCACTAACTGTGGAGGAACAGATGTCTGTTTTTGTACAAAATAATGTGGACATAGGACTAAATCTTCATGTAGCCATATAGGTCGCACCAGTAATGGTTATGGTGATCGACATATCAATTGTTCAGCAATAATAACTTTATCTATCTATATGTAGCCCCATGTTACCAAGTAATATCCAGCAACTGGGTTATGATACCATTAATTTTCTTTGTTATTATCTATTATGTAGAACATGAAACAGCCTAATTTTAGCATTCCCTTCTTGGTCAAGCAACTCATTGATATGTGCTAAAGCTGTGTATTCATCTACCAGCCAACCCTAGAGGGGTAGCAATGTATATGGGTCATACATGGGCCTCATGGGCCTAATATACTCCAACACACAGGATCGAACATCGGGAGTTTACTGACATGAAAAAAGCACACACATCCACGCACGCAACTAGCCACTAATGATGTTGAAATTGGGCGAAATTACCAAGGTCGATGACGGAGGCCCTTGGTGAAGATGTCGGCAAACGGGAGGTGGTCGGGACGTGGAGGACCCGAACATCGCCGATGGCAACTCGATCACGGACAAAGTGTAGGTCGATCTCCACATGCTTGGTCCGTTGGTCTTTGCACGGGGTTGGTGGAGAGGTACAAATCGACGTTGGTAAACCCGTGCTCATGGAGAGGCCTGTGGAGCTTCTTTGTAGAGCCGGGAGGCCTAAATTTGATCCGGATCGGGAGGAATGCTTGGGCGACCAAGACATTGAGTTGCCGCCAGAAAGACAACAGAAGCCGGATAGAGCGCCAGTGTCCGGACATCGGCGTCGGTGTAGGCAACAGCTCGGTGGAGTCTGTCAAGAGTAAGTTAGAGTCGATAGTGCTTGGAGGATTGGAGGAGGCGCTTGAGCGCTTGAGGTGGTTCGGGGATCATGCATGTGAAGGCATATCTCCTGCCTTTGCATAGGTGATGTCAGCCTAGTGAAGGTGAGGTCTTGAAGGGCACTGCAAGATATGTGCAGTGCCGCGGTGGTTCCCACGGCCTCGGACGGCTTTTTTGTGTCAAGCCCAGTAAGCAGGGCCTTGCGATTAGTCATCCCAAAGACGCTCAGAATATCAAGAGTGTACTGCTCTTTGGTGAAGGAGAAGGCGGTGGGGCGAGGCTCACAAAGGTGACCGAGGAAGTGGTGGAGCACCCCAAGATCCTTCATAGCAAACTCCTTTGAAGAGAGGCGGCGACACGGTGAGTAAGGACAAGATATGAGAACAATATCATCAGAGAACTATAGACCATGATGATTGATGCGTATCGACTTGGCCTCCACAAACCCATGTCAGGAAAGCGACAACCGAGAGTACCACGGCAACTGATCTACCAGAGAAGACTTGTTGAGCCGGCGAGACCATGTCCCGGACGAGAAGAGTCAACAAACCCCACCGGAGGGTGCAGATACTTTGTCTGTTGGGTGTGGAGAAAGCATTGTCTGATGCATGCGGGCAAGATCGATCGAGAGCTGTGGAGAGAGACCTTGTCGTCTGGTGGCGGCTTTCCACCATGAAAGTCTCATCATAATCAATTTAAGCGCTGGTGAAACCCCGGAGAATTGAGCCTTGTACCTTCAACGGTACCATCATTGCCGCTTGTGTGTCATGATCCACTTGAGTGACGCGTTCGGGTGGACGGGCACCAGATTATGTCCGGTTGACGAGGAGAGGCAGCTATTTAATGCCATTTGTGGCGCCAATGAGGGTCCGACAAGGCCATGGACGGAAAAGTACTGGGAGTTCTGTCAACGGGCATTCGCATGGCCCGGGGTAGAGGGTGTAGTTTTGTGAGGGTGAACATGCCGCGGGTCATAGAATTTAGGAGGTGGTACAGAATATGGTTCGGGCGGCTTTGAGGTGGCACGGTGATATAAGAGGCAAACACTGCCGACACCTGACATTGGTAGACGTACGCATGCATTGGGCGAACGCTAGCAGGAGGTGCGACAAGCGGTGTCCCCGGACATGGCATGACGGAGGGTAGGTGCAACTCGAGGTGGCGCCCCGACCTGTATGTCCAGGCGTGTTGGCGGCGGGAGGCACGGGCCCGGCATGAGGGCACGGGAAGCATTTGCTCTGTGGGAAAATTGGACCACCGTGTCGATGGGAAACATAGAGAAGGTGTCAGGATCGGGGTGGGAGGTGGGTGGTGGTGGTGGAGAAGGGAAGACAGACTCATCAAACACCACATGGCGAGAGATGAGGTGGACCGGGAGAGTGAGGTTATGCCTTGTGATCCGGGGAGTACCCAAGGAAGACACTGAGTGGAGCAGGGAGCCCGGCTTTGTGGGGAGGCGGTGGCGGTGGTGTTAGGGTAACATGCACACCACGAAGGTGGTCTGGGGAGGGTACCAAGAGGCGTGGTGTGGTGTGGCTGGAAGGTAGGCGGTTAAGGAGATAGTGGAGGTGCATCTGGAGAGCAGAAGCAGAAGCGGCGCCTGGAGGAGAAGAGTGCGATGGTGTCGCTCAGTGGTGCGAATCATGCGCTCGGCCTTGCTGATTCGGGAGGAGGTATCTGGGCAAGACACATGCAATTGGACACCTTCCTCACGGAGGTACCGTTATCGAACTCACGGCCATTGTCACATGGACGGCCTTGATGGGGTCCCTCCAGTAGACACCAGGCGAAAAAAGTGGAGAAGAGTGGTGAAGGTATCCGACCACGCTGGAAAGTCCACGAATAATGCGAAAAAATGTCAACCACCACAAGATAGTATTTAGCCCATGTGGGAGATGTCCATAGGTCGCAGCAGTGTACAAGATCAAACACATGCGTAGTATTTGAAGAAGAAGAACAAAAAGGAGGCGAACATGACGGCCCGGTACCGCACGCATGACACAAGTGCTCATCGTGAGCCCGAGTACAACCAATGTCGAAGCTGCGACTAAAGCTGCGTCAAAGCATCACGTCCGGGATGCCATCAGCGCGGTGCCAAGTGGTGGAGGTGGAGGAGTTGAAGGGCGGCGGTGACAAAGTAGACTTCCTTCTCGAAGAAGGGTGTAAAGGGGTCCCGTCTTTGTCCTTCGGAGAAGAGGACGTCGGGAAGCCAAATCCTTGACGAAGAAGACCGAAGAGTCAAATTCAACGGAGCAGAATTGTCGGGACAGTGGCGAATAGAAAGAAGGTTGTGAACCATGGGTGCAACAAGAATGTCAGCCAAAGGAACCATGAGGCTTCCTTGGAAGACACGAACCATTCAGCGACCATGATGGTGAAGGATAAGAGGAAGAAGGAGGGTAAATAGAGGAGAGTATGTCGTGGTCAGAGTAGTGTGGTAAGTGGCACATGAGTAGTTCAGCTTGGGACCGCAGTGCGGTGTCGGGCCATGGTGTCAAGGATCTGGCCAAGACCACTGGTTCCAACCCAGTTCCAGCCAGACTGAGCAGGTATCGGGAGGTGTCACCCACGAATTGATGCCTGGGAGGTGGAGCCACGCAGACGGGGAGTGAAACCCCTGAGGAGCTCCAGTGAGCACCTGGTGGGCCATACTGAGCCGGGAAGGGCCACATGGAGATGCGCCCGACCCGGGTTATGGAAAGATTCTGTGACACACTGTGGAGTGCTGGTCCTCCTGTGAGGGACTGTGTGTGGTGGCATTCCTTGCGGCCGCCACCCCCCCACATTGCGGGGAGGAGAATCAAGAAGCGCAACGCTTGGGAGAGAGGAGCAACTCCAGTCGAGAAGACGAGGACCCGGGCGCGGAGGGTGGACTGGTGGCGCCTGAGTGAGCTCCTCCATGCAAGGATCAGACTGCAGGGAAGGAGAAAGGGCCCTGCCGGGTGATCCACGTCCGGAGGTGGGCGTAGTGGTCATCGAGCCTGGCGGAGGACGTTGAGGACGAACGCGGTCCTCCACGGGCGCCAAGGTCGCCGAGGAGTCCGCCATGCTCTTCAGGCCGGCAGAACTTCGCTAACGGAGAGGTCACCACAGACGGAGGTGCGGAAGCTTCGATCGAGACGCAGGCCTCCAAGCTTCTGATTGGAGCCATGGATGGTGAAGGTCCAACCAGCAGCAGGCGGAATGGTCGTGGAGGTCAAGGAGATCGACGAGAGAGAGGACGAACAGGAGAGCGCACCACACATCGAGGCGTCGACTAGGACGTGGTCTCGAGGGCGTGTTTGAGGAGGACCAGTCCCTCTGGGAAGCGTAAGCCAAAGCTCGAGGACGCACCGGACGAGGAGTCGGATGTTCGGATCCTTACCGGGGTGGAGCCGAGCCACGGTGGGTCTTACTGAATGATTCGAGCTAAGGAGGTGGTCGCTGTGGAGGAACAGATGTCTGTTTTGTACAAAATAATGTGGACATAGGACTAAATCTCATGTAGCTATATAGGTCGCACCAGTAATGGTTATGGTGAGGAGGAGCGGGGAAGAAGAAATATCAATTGTTCAGCAATAATAACTTTATCTATCTATATGTAGCCAGCCATGTTACCAAGTAATATCCAGCAACTGGGTTGGCACGCCATTGGCGTGGCGCGCCTACCAGCAATGGCCAAGTAACGCTCACGCCAAGGCAAGAAGAAGCGGCGGCCGACGGGCCGCCGCCCAAGACACGCTGGGCCCAGGAGGAGGGTAGGGGAAGGGAGGGAAGGCCAGGAAGTAGGTGGGGAGGGAGGGAGGGCGGCCAGCCATTAAGTGGCTGAGCCGTGGCGGCGGCAGAGGAAGAGGAAGAGAAGAAGAAAACCTAGCTTGA